CCCTCGGGCCTGCTCCCTGGTGCAAGTCGGGGACCTGTCTGTGGGCACCCGGGGACACGTCTGCTCTTTGGATTTATTTCCAAAGTGTCCATGAGGGGCTTCCTGGGGGCAGGTGGGCCTTGGCACACCTCCTGTCCCCCTGGGGGAGGCGACACTGGAACCAGCCGAGGGGCAGCTGGGGCCAGCATTCAGAAGCCGCGAGTGTGACCGGACATCACGCACACGCATGAGTCAGTGTGGAAAGACACAGACACAGACAGGTGAGCAGAACAGAACTTGCAGGCTGAGAAAGTCACTGACATGAAAAACTCCCCCACGAGGTCTAACACTGGTATGAGGTAGAAGTAGTGACCGCAGGAAGGTTTGAGGAATAAATATCCAGAATGTGGGACAGGAAGATGAGAGATTAAGTTGCAACACAGAGCAGCAGAGACTCGAAGAGTGGAATGGAAAGTCTAAGTGCTTTATAGAGTCTCTTTTCTTTGTCGTAACAAATGCATTTTATTTCCACTCGCTACATGGATATATGTATCGTGTGTTAATAAATACACCTGAGGCAAAAGTTTCATGAAATAATACAATGCACTCCAGTATTTTCTTCTGCTTTCTTTCTCAAGTTGGGAACAACCTACTAAATTGATTTTATAAGTTACTCTTGGGAAACACCCTACCGTTTGAAACACTGCTTGCATAAACTGCTAGTCAGGCTTCCAGAAGACTCGAAGAGCCTGGGGTGATATTTAAAGCCAAGTTGCCACTTGCGTGCTGAGAGGAGGGGCTTGGAAGGCGAGCTGCTCAGAGGAACGGGCGGGGCTGAGAGGGTGTCAGAGGAGGCTCTGGTGTGGGCACGTGCAGAGACGGAGTGGGTGGTGCGTGCCCGGGGCTGGGCACGGGGTGGAGCGTAGTGGGCACGCAGTTCACGTTCACAGGATGAAGAGTTTTGTGGACGGTGATCCAGCCTTGTGAACGTGCTGCTGTGAAACAGGGAACTGAAAAATGGTTAGTGGAACACTTGGTTGCATGCACTGTACCACTAGAAAAAATCCTTTAAAAGTGCTCGGAGAATGTTCTACAGTGGTGGCGAAAGGTACCAATCAGCAGACTCGGAGAGCCGAGTGCAGGCCGGGTAAGCGCTGTGGGCTGGCCATTTAAGCCCCTCCCCCAGCCCTGCGTGGAAACCTCCCGGATGTGTAGCCGGTGGACACTGGCCTCTCTGGACTTGGTCAGGGCAGGAGAGGGTGGAACCCTCCTGAGCAGATTAGTGACTTACAAAAGAGGCCCCAGGGGGCCTCCCTGGAGCACAGCACTGTGACACCAGGACAAAGCCCCAGCAGCATAGCTCAATCGGACCCCAGGGCGCGGCAGACCTCTCCTGTCTCCCCGCTGCTCCCCTCAGCGGTGTGTCTCAGTCAGTGTGCCTGCTCTGCTCCCTCTGTCTCTGGTGAATCCTCTCACCCCCTGCAGTTCTGGTCTATGCCTGAGTTCTTCTATGTATAAATTCTTTTTCAAAATTACTAAAATATGGCCCTCCCTGGTGGCGCAACGGGTTAAAGCACAGCACTGAGAATCTAAAGCTGCTTCCTCATGAGTTCGATCCCCGCCTGCCCCGGAGGTGACCCACAGGGCGCGGCAGACCTCTCCTGTC